ATTTTAATTTTATGTTGCAAATGGATTAGTTTTATAGTTTTATTAAACTTTTTGCTAAAATTTATATACTACTTAATAGCAAATTAAAATAAAATTCTACGTTTAAATTTAAATAAAAATTTACGGATTAGTTAATACTGAAACTTATTAAAGAAAAATTTCGGAATGGCAAAGGAGGGGCATGAAATATAAAAATTTTTGGATAATATTTATATTATTAGGGTTTATTAAATCTAGAAAGCAATGTAAGACAAGAGAAGACCTATCGGTTCCAGGAAGGGTTTCATTAGACGATTCCAAAGACAATGTTCCAAAGACGGTTGAAACCCTAAGATTTTTGGAACCATAGTTTCAAACTGTTTGATATTTTGTAACCGTTATACGCTAGCTTGGGTTTACTTAGGATTTTTCGTTTTAGCTGGGTTCGATTAGCCTCCCACTATAACTCATCAAACTCATCAATTTACCTACCGTATTTTTTCAAATAGAGCCCAACCCTTAATTAATGCCCTACCATCATTTAGAGCCCCACCCTCATTTAGAGCCCCACACTCAATTGGAGCCCCACCCTCATTTAGAGCCCACCCTCAATTGGAGCCCCACCCACATTTAGAGCCCCACCCTTCAATTAGAGCCCCACCCTCCAATACAGCCCCACTTTGGAGGATAGTTAAAAAATAGAGGCCCATGGGGCTGTTTTATCAGAAGAAATACGGTATATTATTTAAAAATACTCAGCTCTAGCTACACGCACAAAAACACTTTCTCGCCAAATTACTATAATAAATTTTCTCGTTTATATTTATTTTTATATATCCGTTTTTGACATAATTTTTAATTATAAACAAACACATTTTCGAAAGAAAATTTGTACTTGACTACTGTATTGTTTTTTTGCACTTTACATATTTTTAAAGAAAATTACCCCTATAAAGTACTTGTGGTAGTGATGTAAAAAAAATTTTTAAAAAGTGCTTATGCGAAAAAATAAAATGTGTAAAAATATGCTTTTACATGCTAATTATTTATATTTTAAAAATAATTGTATTGTATAATTATGCTATTTTTTAATAAAAAATTTTTTCGTAGTTAGTGGAAAAAATTTTTCATAGAAAAATAATATTAGAGACTTATATGGTAGTGACGGGGACTGATTTAGTGTAAATAAACAGCTTATGGGTAATAATTAGTGTTCGGCACGGTACGGTATACCGCGGTATTTTTCCCGGTATACCGCGGTATTTTTTTCCGGTATACCGATACCGATACCGTACCGGTCAAATTTTGAAAAAAACGGTATTTTTCGGTATCGGTATTTTTTCGGTATACCGATACCGATACCGTACCGGTCCTCGAAAAAATACCGCGGTATTTTCCGGTATTTCGGTATTTGTGAAATTCTCAAAATTTTCGCCTGCGGCGCTGAAAAAGGAAGAAATCTGACTTTTGGTTTTCCAAAATTCTCAAAATTTTCGCCTGCGGCGCTGAAAAAGGAAGAAATCTGCCTTCTGGTCTTCCAAAATTCTCAAAATTTTTGCCTACGGCGCTGAAAAAGGATATATAGTGACATTCTATTAGAGGGTGCATTGTATTTTTCAATTATCCTTCTGGGGCATTCTATTAAAGGAGGGTATTCTAATGGTGGGGGCATAGTAATTTTCAATAATCCTCCAGGGGACATACTATTAAAGCAGGGTATTCTAATGGGGGGGGGGGGGCATTGTATTTTTCAATTAGCTAAATGTCGAACAATTGTTGGACATTTTGCTCATTCAAATCTTGCCTATGATCGATTAGAAGAAGCTCAAGTCCTTGAGATTGTTAAGATTTATTGTTAAAATTTTAAAAATAAAATTTAAAAAATTTTATAAAATTTTTTAAAAAATACCGAATACCGGCCGGTATACCGAAAATTTTGAGACGGTATTTTCCGGTATCGGTATTTTTCCGGTATACCGATACCGTACCGGTCAATTTTTGTAAAAAACGGTATTTTTCGGTATCGGTATTTTTTCGGTATACCGATACCGAATACCGGAAAAGGTCATTTGCCGAACACTAGTAATAATACAGATATGATACCTTTGTCGATTAAATATTTACGGTATTTTATGAGCTGGCAGAGATCAGCCAATCTCTTATTTTTAAACTAGGGTAGCACCCAATTACACGAAGCCCAGACCCGACACCGACTATTCTTTAGGCAAAAACCCCAACCCGAACTCCGAAGGCTCTTCCCCGACAAACCCCGATCACCTTTGATCCCGCTCCCGAAGGCTCGGGTGCTACCCTAGTTAAAACCTATGAACTCTACTTATGTAACAAGCCTATGGACTCTGCTAGTTATAGATTAAATTTTAAAAATTCTGAGCTGTCACATATAATTAAGCCAGGTTTTGCAACAAAGAATGCAAGACGTTTAAAAGTAATAACAACTGTAACCCTGAGTCAGGTCCAGTCATATTATAGTTTTATTAAATATTGGGCATTTTAATTCGGTCCTCCGGTAATTTAAAAGAAAGATATTTTCCACCCGATCAAGTTTTAAGGGGGTCGGTATTAACCCCCCGGCCCAAAAATTGTTCCAAATGAGACTATATCCAGCACCAACGCTTTTTTATTTTTTATATTTAAACAAGAAAATTAATAAATTTAAATATATTAAATAAACTCATAAAAGAAAATGAAGAAGGGATTTTTATGATTGAATTTAATAAAAATAATTAAAATTTCCTATTTTACATTTAAAAATTTCAAGATTAGAACATTTAAATTTAGAATAATTCTTGGAAATACAAATTATTTTAAAATAGAAAGTACTCTTTTAATAATTTTAAGCTTAATTTATATTTTAGTTTAATTTATATTTTCTATGAAAGTACAATAAAGTATGAAACTGAAGTTTGAAAGATTTTTTAAAAAATTGGTAGCTCAACTTTGGATAAGTTATAAAAGCATAAGTTATATTACTCACAAGCTAGGTATATTTGTTTGTGTGTCATTAAAATTTGTGTTTTATTTGTGTTTTATTTTATTTTATTGTGTTTTACTATACTTTCCGGAAACTATAATTAATTATTTCCGGAAATATTAATTTTCATAGAGTTATAAATTTTCAGAGAGTTATCCGGAAATTTTTATTTTCGGAAGGTAATTGATATTTGTGTTTTATATTTCTTCCGGTAGTCTTTAATTATTATAGTTATACATTTTCCGGAAAATACAAATAATTATATCATTGTATTTTAAGGAAACTAATTAATTAGTTTCCGGAAAAGTATTAATTTGCTTAAATTATATAATTTCCGGAAAGTTTTGTATTTGTTTTTGTTGAGTGTATTTTATGTAATGAAATTTTTCGGAAATTCTTTTAATTAAATTAGTTTTCCGGAAAATACAAATAAAATTATTATTGCTTAAAATAGGATTGTTCACTACCAGCTATTAATCGGTATCCCCGGCTTTCTGTTTCGGTTAATTGGCCACAAACGCCGGTTTCAGTTAACCGATCATGAACACCCCTAGTTTATAATTAAAATTTTTACAGATCTCTGTAGATTCACAAAATACAGTAGAAATTAATTTGTGTTTTAGTCGTCTACCTATTTTATGTTTTTTAATATTTTTATTTTTAATATTTTTATAATTATTTTGCATATTTTTCTTTTCTCAAATTAATCCTAAAAAGCTTTTAGATGTAATGCAAAAAAAAATAAAATAAATAAATTTATTAAAAAATTACAGTAATAAATAAGTTATAGCCAAAACAATAAAATTATTAATTAAATATTTAAATTAATCCAGAAAAAATAAATAAAGATTATAGCTGGGGATTCCCTTATTTTCATTAAAAACATGCTTATCACGTGAATAATAATTAATTAAAATTCCTTAAGCAAATAATAATAAAATAATAAATTTGTGTAAAAATACAAAAATAAAACACATAAAAATATTGTTAATAAATAAAATAAACACAATAAAAATTGAGAAAAAAATTTAAAATTATTTGTGACTTCATTAAAATTTCATAAATTAAGAAATGATTTCCGGAATACAATTGAATATTTGTGTAATAGAATACTATCGCACGGAAACATGTATTTAACCGAATTTTATATTTTCCGGAAAATACACGTTTATAAGCAAAATGTTTATTAGTAACATTATTTGTGTTTTACAAACTTTCCGGAAAGAAATACATTGTTCCTGAAACACGTTTAGAAAATAATTATGTGTTTCATAAAACATTCCGGAAAGTTTTATAACTGTATTTTCCGGAAACATATTAATTTTCATAGTTATATAATTTCCGGAAATTTAAATTATTTTTCGGAAGGTAGCGCATTTTGTATTTTAGCATATTTCCGGAAACTTTTGTATTTAAAATAATTTTTGTATTTCCGGAAAATACATTTACTTTCATAGTTATAAAACTTCCGTAAAATTTAAATTATTTTCCGGAAAGTGGTTAGTATTTGTGTTTTATATATTTTCCGGAAACATTTGTAAAATAATTTTTGTATTTTCCGGAAAATAAATTTAGTTTCATAGTTATAAAACTTCCGGAAAATTTAAATTATTTTCCGGAATGTAGCTGATACATATTTGTGTTTTATATATTTTTCCGGAAACTTTTCTATTTAAACAAGATTTTATATTTTCCGGAAAATACATTTAATAAAATTGTAAAGAAAACGTTTTTCCAGAAGTTTTTGCATGTTTCAAAGGATTAGAAATTTTTCTTTAAATAGAAAAATTTAAGTTTGTATTCTTAAAAGCATGTCTATTAAAAAATTTATTTTTAAGTCTATTTTTGTAATATTTTGGAATTATTTCTATATAAGGATTTTAATTTAAAAATTTTTTTAATTAAAAATATTTAAAAAAAATTTTTAAATAAAAAAAATTTTAAAATTTAAAGAAAAATTTTTTTCAAATTAAAAAAAAATTTATTGGTAAAAATTATAAATTTTTAATTAAATATTCTGCTCATTTCCCCTATTTTCCCCTTTATCTCGTTCAAATAAATATCCAATTTGTCTGTAAAAATTAGCCAAAATAGCTGATGTTATCAACGAGACTGCTCCAATTACAAAAGTTAAAGTTAAATGTCTACCTCGTAAAATCACGTCAATAACTAAAATATTTTTATTAAAAAATTAAATTAATAATTAAGTATCCAAACATATGCTTATCGGAATCCCACAGAGAACGCCAATGACGATTGATAAAGGGCCAAGGGCTGACACACCAAAAATTGTTGCAATGTTGAAAACTTTGAAAAAACACAAAGAAAAAATTTTTTTAATTCCAGAAAATTTTTTTTTAATTTCAGTAAATTTTTTTAAAAATTTTCAAATTTTCAAAATAATTTTGAAAAATATTTTAAAAATTTACCAAAAGTCAGAAACACAAAATTCAAAAAATTTCCCCAAGGAACACTGTCCCATTGCCAAATATCATAACCAAAATACACCAAAATTGAAGTTGGAATTAAGTTTAGAGGAAGGTTGACTATTGCCATGCCTGATAGAAAGAGCATACCCTCACCTAAAGAAGCTTGCTCTCCCGAAATTAATTTGAAGGTGACCTGAAAAATTTTTTCGAAAATTTTTTTCTGAATTTTAAATTGCCTTGTAAGTCGAATCAGAAAGACATGACAGCAAAACTAACAAAAATCCGATGATATTAGCTGCAAATTCCTTATCTAGAGCAATTGATATAACTCCTATGATTGCCAGAAATACAGCTATTGTCTAAAAAATAATTGTTTATATTGTAATAAGCATTAATTATTTTAATAGAGTAGCTTCAGATGACAGTTTTTAATTCTAGCTTTTGATTATAGTCTAACTATTATCCTTTAAATGTTTCAAATTTCCGGTTCTAAGATGATTTGCTTAAGAAACTGATTCACGGGAATACATAAAAATTAAGAACTTACAAAACTACCCCGTTCCCCTCCCGACCCCGAACCTGTCCGCAAACAATTCGAAAACCCTGTTGACACACCCGTCCCCGAGCGTTCGGGTGTAACCCTAGTTTTAGCCCTGGTAGCCTTATAATAAAAAAATAATCCCTGGTGGTCTAGTTAAATAATAGTGAAGAGTTACCATTGGACTAATATCATGGCAATATTTACTAATTCTTGACTAACTTAAGCATAACTAAGCTACCTTAAAAATATTAAATTTATCTTTCAATACAATTCTCCCAAAAATATAAACAATAGAAACTTCAAAACTTCTAATTGTTAAAGCTGCGGATGATGAGATTTTGCCTAGGGATAAGGCATAGGAATAATTGCCAAAGGTATAGAGACATAAAAAGAAAAATTCTTTTATGAAAAATGGACTGAAAAAATTTTTTAAATTTAATTTTCTTTAAAAATAAAAAACCCAAATCGAAATCCATCATCAGAAAAAATTCGAGAGGATTTACTAGTAATTTCTTTCAAAGACATTTGATTTTTCTTTATGCATTTTTCATAAAATAAGAAGAGAGGAAAACATATAATCTTTAAGAGTATGATAAAAATTATTAGAAAATGCAACTAGAAAATACACAAGTTCGTTTCCGGAAAATACAATATCTAATAATTTTAATATTTTACTGAAACAATTAATTAAATTACAACTTTTCCGGAATGCTTATACTTTAAAATTGTTTTTATTAATTTAGTAAAATAAATAGAGTCTCCGGTTTGTTTCCGGTTTAGGCTGTGAAAACACAATTTAATTGATATTTCCCAAATTTAATCATAATTAAAATATTTCCGGAAAATTAAATTAAGTATAAAAATTTTCTGGAATACATACTAGGTATTTTCCGGAAAACACTATTAGATAATTAACTTTTTCCGGAAGTTATAAAATTAATGTATTATTCCTGAAAATATATTCCCTAAAGTTATTAACATAAAATATTTCCGGAATTATTTTCCGGTAAACATTTATAATTAATTAGACGTTTCCGGAACTAATATACTTAATTAAATCTATGATTTTTTATACATTCCGGAAAATACAAATATTTAATTAAATGTATTTTACAAACCAAGCAACAATTATTAAACCACATCATTGTATACGGAGGAAAAAAGTGTGTTGGATCATCATTTAGAAGAGAGTATTTAACTTGTGAGCCGTATCCGGTAGAGATCGCTACAGACAGTATTGTGATTATTGTCCAAAATATCTTCAAAAAAATTTTTTTCATGAAAAATTTTTTTGTAAAAATGAATTTTTTCGAGAAAAAAATTCATTTTTAAATTTTTTTGAAAATTAAAAAAATTTAAAAAAAAGTTTTCCATAAAAATTTTAACAATTTACCCGGCATTTTTTATTTCTTCTGTCATTTTTAATTTCATTATCAATTTCATTAATAATTTTATTCTTATGATCATTGTCCTCCATTTAATAAAAAATTAAAAATAAATTCAAATAAAAAATTTAAAAAAATAATTTAAAATTAACAAATAAAATCTTCAACAAATTTATTTTTAAAATATTATTATGCCTCTGAAATTTCAACAAAATAAAATTATTTTTAAATAAAATGCAAAATAGTAAATAAATATATTTCCATAGTAACTACTTAATAATATTGTGTGTTGTTATCAGTAAATCTGATCGATGGGAAAAATATTTATATTTTTTTGTAACATTTATGGGATGTTGGAAAATGTTTTATTTATTAATTCTTAATTAAATTGAAAATCTAAAAAAATTAAAAAAATTTTTAGGTCTATTAGAATAACTCTTTTTACCAAAATTAAACAAAATTATAAGAAGATCCAATCTTCAGTTAATAAATATAAAAAAATATTTCATACATATCCCTTAGCAGGGCTAATTTCAATGCTGCTAGACATTCCAACTAGACACTCTCGATAACCAAATACAGACATTTCAGTTTAATTCCCTCTCAATATCTCCTTAATTCTTTTTATCCCTGATTTAAGTAAAAGTAAAAAGCCTCCATCATTATAGATCAATCGAATCTGGAATTGCGAAAATCTGGAATTCCCGACGTATTTTTGGGTCGGGATCGGGATTTCCCAAAATCTTGAATTTTATTTTTATTTAATTTTATTTTTATTTTCAAAAAATCATATCTCTGCTCCGGAAAAAGATATTTCTAAGCGGTTTTGTGGTAGATGCTCACAAAAATATGCTTTATCATTTGGGTTTGTTAAATTTTTTCCGAAAAATTTTTCCGAAAAAATGGGATTTGGTATATCCGGTAGATCCGGATTATCTCGGCCAATTTTCATTTTCATGAAAAATGCAGAAACATGTCAACTGAGATACGAATAGAGCTTTCGATTGGTATATAGAACGTATTTTTTGAATGAAAAATTAAGAATTAAGAAAAAATTTTCTAGCGCTTCCATACTTTTTTCCACGACTGTATATAAAATTGAGAGCTAACTTTATCTTTATTTTATTATATTTTCTTTGTAATACAATACAGGATGAAATGGTGAGTAAATATTCTTGGATTTATATTTTTTTTATTTTTCCATTGTTCAGTTCGCCACTTTTGAAAGAAGGAAGCGAATTGTGGACTAACGTGAATGTGTCGAGGATAAATATTTTGACTAGAAAAAAAGAAACGTGAAATGGAACGGAAAGAAGGTAAAAATAAAAAAGAAATGCGTGAAAAGAACAATCGCCCTTAAAAACAAAAGGAAGAATGAGGAAACCAAAAATCTTGAGTTGACAAAATAAAGTAAAACAAAACTAAACAGATTTTTACTAATTTATTCTTGTATTTTTAAAGTTATATTTTTATTAGGGTTGAGGCCATGTCCGGTCCGTTAGATTGAATCAGGCATCGATTTGACCCGAAAAAGAACCTGGTCCGATAAAAATTAGGCCCAGCCCTAATTTTTAGGCCAACCCTAATTTTAATATAAACTTGTAGCAAATTATCTGTTAGTTTTTCTAGTTTGTATCTGCATCGGAAATGTTAGAAACACTATAGAGCTGTTATGATAATTTTTCTGAAAATATTTATTCTTTTGCGGAAAATAATACGCTTTTCCGAAAACCATAAGATATTTCCGGAAAATATTTTCATATGTATAATTTCTGGACACACTGTATATCAGGGGTGTGCCGAAACGGATTTTAAAAAGTGAAACGCGAAACGCGAAACGCGAAAGTAAATTTAAAAAGTGAAACGCGAAATGCGAAACGCGAAAGTAAATTTAAAAAAGCGACACGCGAAACGCGAAAGTCCAAAAAACGCGAAAATCCGCGAAAGGCGAAACGCGAAACGCGAAACTCGCACACCCCTGCTGTATATTATGTATATTTTCCAGTAAATTTTTTAAAATAATTTATATTATTGGTGAAATATATATGCTTCCGGAGATTGAAATTAAATGTTTCCGGAAATACATATTAGATAATAAATTTATTATCAGAATTTCTCCTTTACTATTTATCAATTAAAATTAAGTAATTATCCCACCATATTTTTTGCTTCAATATTTATTTTTAAAATACATAGATAATAATTTTACACCCAAAAATGCCCAAAAAATTATTTTATAAAGCTTCGTCTGTCCACAAAAGTAAAAATATTTATTTATTTATTTAAATTCTTTTCTCCGTCCAAATCGGGAAAAAACTTTTTAAATTTTCTAATAAAAATAAAATAAAAGTGCTTTTCCCTCTTAAAATACACACAAATATTTAAATAATAATCAGCGGTCAGCAAGCGGCTTTTTGATTGCTTTTCTCTATTTTTAAAGTCCTATAACTGTCTCTTCCTCCCTTCATTTTTATTTTCCCCCTTTAAATTCTCCGTTTATCCCCAAAACTCTCGCCAGCCTCTTAAATAAGCATTCGGCTGTCCATTAAAAAAAAATTTTTTTTTAATATTTATTTACAAAGGTGCGTCTTTTTTCCTAGCTTTTTGGTCACCTAAACAAAAATATAGTTTCTCTTCAACACTTTTTCTTGTCCTTGCCCATTCTTGACTTTTTCCTCTTCCGATTGAATATTAAAATTAATTCCTTCCCCTATTTCTTCCTTGATTATTCTTCCTTCATTATCCCTTCTCTCGCTTTATCCCTCCTCGCAAACCTTTAGGTTATCAAAGCCTCAAATTTTCAAATCTCAGAAAGTTTTGTGGAACACTTTTAAATATTCCCTGCTTCCTTCGTTTTTTTTCTTCATGATGATTGTTAATAGCAGGAAGAATTTAATTCTTCCGTCGGGTATGGTATAGTGATGGCAACATTTAGGGTCGGTCCCCGAAGGTAGGGGATGTTATGTACGTGACTTGTATGTCAACGTACTAACAAGAATAACAAGATAAGACAGACTAACAAACTGTGCTTTATCTACAATACTAATTACAATAGAAGCGAACAATAGGAATATGGCCGACGCCAAATATGTGGAGCACTGGAATAAGACTAAGAATAACACTAACGAATACTAACCGACAATAACCCCCGAATGGCTAAAGCCGTAGCCTTTTATACTAAGCACATACCCAACAGGGGAGAACTTTTTCGTTAACAGG